GTAAAAGCGTCTGTGTGTAAAAGCTCTGTGTGTAAAAGCCTCTGTGTGTAAACGTGTTTGTGTGTGTCAAAGCGTCTGTGTGTAAAAGCGTCTGTGTGTAAAAGTGTCTGTGTGTAAAAGCGTCTGTGTGTAAAAGCGTCTGTGTGTAAAAGCGTCTGTGTGAAAGCGTCTGTGTGTAAAAGTCTCTGCGGGTAAAAGCCTCTGTGTGTAAAAGTCTCTGTGTGTGAAAGAGCCTGTGTGTAAAAAGCGTCTGTGTGTAAAAGCGTCTGTGTGTAAAAGCGTCTGTGTGTAAAAGCGTCTGTGTGTAAAAGGCTCTGTGTGTAAAAGCGTCTGTGTGTGTAAAAGTCTCTGTGTGTAAAAGCGTCTAAGTAACATTAGTGACATCTGAGGATGGATTAGTGACATCTGAGGTTTGAAAGAGACCCATTAAGACCAGCTAAGAACACTACAAAAACCTCCGCTACCACTAGATCCTGAGGCTACAACACCATTGCAGTCTGCATTCATGCTAGCAGCAAGCAGTGTGTCTTTGCTTCACAGCACATCCATTTTGAGAAAGTGTTTGATGCAGCACTGATGCTTGCACAACCCCATAGCAGTTTGCAACCATGCTGGTAGCGAGTGCTACTGACACCAAAAGATGCTCCAGTTACTGATACCTATAAACATACCTGGTGGTATCATGGGGTATGAAAATGCCACGGGTTCGGTAACCTCCTGACCTTGCTACCAGAAAGGGTTTGCTACCAACAACCTCTGGTGGAATGAATGGAGATATCCATTCAAAAATGATTTTTTGGTTTAACCCAAGTGTTTGTGCGCATGCACTACATACATACCACACCCGCTCAGACCCCAAAGCTGTCTGGCCCACAGTTTCAAACATTTTTTTGGGGGTTCCCTTTGTATAAACCCATATGTTTCCGATGGAACCTTGAAAATATTTATATATATATATATTACTATTATATATTACTCTAATATTCCCCAAAATTTTCAATACCACACAAATTTACATGTTTTTATCATCCCATGTTTTTGGGTGTTTGCCCATACGGGTGCGCCAGTGGCCCTGAACGGCCGGTGGGTCTCCACCTCAGCCGGATGGGCCAGAGATTGGGTTCTCATGAGATTGCTTGGGTTCTCATGAGATTGCTTGGGTTCTCATACTTTTATTTGGTTTGTTGTGAACATATTAGAACTGTCAAGGGTTTGCACATATTTGGAACCGCTTTAGAATTGTGGAAACCAACATGAACATATCAACAACCTGAAAATAGAATACCAATACTAAAATAGACGTTGGGGTAGTATGGATTCATAATTACGTTTTTTACTAACAAGTAAAGGGTCTTTTTTGGAATACATTAACTTCCATAAGTTTGTGTCTTTTAGGATCTTACCCCAATGATTGTATGGTTTCATAATGATTATTTTTTTGGATCAGTATAAATATAAATGAACCTTTACTGAGGTACATTCATTCGCATCTCATTTTTATATCATTTTATTTATAGGTGGGTGATTTTGGGGGCCCTTCCCCTTATGATAGTGATCTCAGTTGTATTGGTTTATATTAATGCATGTTTTGGGTCAACAATTAAATTATATAAATTACATTTTATTGGGATAGATTAACTTCCCAATAATTCTTTACAGGTGATTTTTTGGGGTATCTTCCCCTGATAATCTCAGAGTTATGGATTCATATTGAACCTTTTTTGGATTGGTTCCCTCTTTGGTTTTTTTTCTCCCTTTGGGTTGTTTCCCATTTTCGCATCGTTTTCCCAATGGTACCGCCGCTCAAGGCCATGGCAATTCCTGGATGGCAACTTCATCACCATCACCACTGTGAGGCCTAAGGGGGACAGAGATAAATAAGGTTGTGATTAGTGATTGAAGAGAAGGGGAATACAATTATATTGCCACCAAATCTGATTGAGTGCAAGATGTTCCACATTTTTTCACTGAAGCCAATATCCCCTTGGCAAATCTCGTCTAGATCTTCTAATGTGCGACGATATGATTCATCCCAAACATGCGCATGGGATCCATTCTTTCAAATCAGGGCCAACCTCTGAGAATAAAGCTACAGATTGAAACATATTGAAAAATATCATTTAGAACAACATTGATATATGTTGATATGTTTATTGAACATAGATTTTCAATCAAAGATGATCACTTACTTTTGGATCCCTTGGCGCCCTGCCATGATGTTGGCACGAATGGGGCTTTCGAGCCATGCCTGAATGGCCTTCTTGCGTCGTTCATTGGACGGGGGTAAGCCACAAGTAAACAACCAATTTGAAATGAATTGGTCTTTGGTCTTTGCCAAACTCGGCCCCTCACTGCTAGACCCAGAAGCACCCTCAGAAGATTTCTCTTCACGCGGCACCCCCTTTGACAGCCACTTCTTGTGCCACTCACGGGAATTCTTCCTTTGAGTTTCCGAAGTCTTGTAGGTCTTCTTCTTGATGTTCGGTTCTGTGTTCTCCTCATCCGCAACCTTGTCGATATTCGGTTCTGAGTTCTCCTCATCCGCAATCTTGTCGATATTCGGTTCTGTGTTCTCCTCACCCGCAATCTTGTTGATATTCGATTCGGTGTTCTCCTCATCATCAGACACATCCAAATCCAAAGGGGTCTTGGGAGTGACCAATGGTTGGAAATCATCTTCTAATGGCTTCTCATCAAGATTGGGGTCCATAGATTCCAAACCGACTGGCATCGGCTCGCCACAGGAACCATGATGGAGCACATCATCCTCTTCCTCGAGGCACGGAGGAGACTGAGGAATGTCTTCAGGGGCGAATTGGTGCTTCCTCTTCAAGCATCCCTTGTTCCCATCCACTGGTACTGGTGGTTCTTGAAGGAATCCATCATCCAAGATGTCACCGCCACATTCAGTAAGAGGGCTTCCATTGCCATCAAACTTCTTGGGAGTCACGAATGGCTGTTGCCTTGGCATTGACAAATTATTTGAAAAAGTCAGACAATACAATTGTTGTATAGTGTTATCTGATAAATTGTATGTATAGTGTTGTATTTGAATTCAATGAACCCAAATCTGATAAATCCCAAACCGAAAATATTGGAATTTGGTTGATCAACCTTCAAACAAAATCTAAGCAAAATCTAAGATGCGAATGCAACCTCCACTGGGACTCAACCTTCGGTGAGTCATCCATGTTATGTGGCGGTGGCTCCACAGGCGCTGCAAAGCCAGTGTTGGATGACGGGACCAGGCACAAGCTCTGGGCACGTGGTCGGGTGAGGTCATGGATAACCTTGAATTTGGGGGAAGCCTCACTGTTTCCACAACGCGCCTTTTTGGCAAACATTCCATGGGCTTTGGATAGAGAAGGCTCGTACTCCATCACATCATCATCCACCACTATTTGGGTGAATTGGGAAGTCATCACAGGAGTCAGGTGATGGTCCGAAACCAGATTTGAAGCTAAATTAGCTCTGAAAACACTGGTTTGGAAGATTTTGCAAGCCACTGAGTGTAATAAGTGTCATTCACGAGTGCTATGGACTCAATGTTCTCTGACTTCTCTGGTTTTTTTGTTCGATAACATTAATCACAAAACAAAACAATAATTAAATTGTTGTGCAGTCCACTTGAGAGGTCACTTAGACAGATCCCAAATGAAGACTTTTTTGTCATCCCCACAGCAGCATTGCGATTTGTAGCTGGCGGTGGGCTGTGCCACCTGGGATTGGACCTCAACTGCGCACAGTCAGGCAGAGATGCCAGGGTGCCTCAATTTGGCTGTGCTGGCATGGACCCCCAACGCACTTCCTCACGGATGGGTAACCAGATGAATAAGATGAATAAAGATGAATAAAATTTGAACATATTTCCTCACAATAGATGGATAATCAGATGAATAATTACAATGAATAAAGATGAATAAAACTTGAACATAGAATGAAACCACCTGGGAAATGCAGAGCTCAAAATCCAAATCTAGATAAGTCGTTGGCAGCCATCCTTGGCCAACGTCAGATCACTGGGTAGAAACCACAGCGGCTTTGCCGCTGCAATCATCCGTTCTGCTGCATAGAGCCTGAATCGCCAAACCTTGGTTGATGTAAGGTTGGCTCAATCTTTAGATAGGTATTGGGTGGTTAGAGCACAAAAACGAAATATAAATACATCTTGAAGTTTGGATGCAATAAGAATGTTCTGAAAATCTGGTATAGGGTTTGGAACATCTTGGCCATATAGATCTTGGAAAACATACAAATCTCTGGTTGATTGAAAATATCTTGAACAAATGAATTTTTGACAATGTACTGGTGAATGAATCCATTACCTATATGTATATATATGGGCGTTTCTTTTTGGAAGGATGAATAAATAGATCTTGGGATAAACAGATCTCGGCAATACGGTTCATCTGAATATAGTGATCATAAAAAAAGTGATATACCTACATATTCTGTATAATATATATATATATATATATATATATCTTGGGAACCCCACATAAAATAGGCTCGCCCCAAACACCAATCTCCAAATTTAAAACGAAGTGGCCAAAACCAAGGGTGATGCACTCAGGGCTGAATGCATAAAGTGGGACGCCACGTTGGTACCCTTCAAGTTCTTTCCCTGGATCATTTGGGGGCGCCAGATCAGAGCATTCCCCTCCTCAGGCTTGACCTTGAAGTGGTCGGGGCATTTGCCTTGCTGGACCTCTGGCGGACGAAGGCACACGTGGCCACCCACTGTGTAGTCAACGGTCCCCTTCGACTCAATCATCTGAAGCATGGAGCGGAAAGACTGCACAGCACCATCAACTCCATTCTCCTTCCATCAAACATGTTCAAATAAGTCTTTGAGATGTTTTGGATTTCCATCATATATGTAACATGTGTATTATATATATGTATATATATATATATAGAAAGAGATAATTATATATTCACACATGTATGCCAGTTATGTATGTTACAATTGTGTTTCCAACATGTATGCTTTGGGCCAACTAGTCCTCAAAGATTGCCGGGAACTCATCATCCTCCAGCTTGCATGGGATTCCACGGTCGGGGTTGTTGGTCACATACTTCACTGCTTTCTCCCCGGTAAGCCAAGAGCCTGCCCCATGAGTCACCACTGCTGCCTCCCAAGCTTTGATCTGGGTTGCTTCCTTGGCCATCAAGTAGAGTTCAGGGCCAGGGGCAAGAAAGAAACTTGTTGTCGATGAAATCCCAACCATCTCAGTCAAATCAGCCCCAAACTTTGCCTTCAAGGCAGTCAAGGTTGTAGGTGATCCAGTGAACTTGGTGCTCCAAGTGACAGGTTCAACTTTGAATTCGGTTTTGATTCCCTCGGCTTTGACAGGTGACCCTCCTCCACTTGGATCTGGGGTTGGAGAAGGCGTGGTCGCCGCTGCTGGGGCACCCCAATCCTGGTCAAACTGTTTCAAAATCTCACGCCACTCGGGGCCATAGATGGGGCAAGTAAGGAAATGCTTGCGAATGTCAGAGGGGATCGATAACTTGCCATCAGCGAATTGACACACCCTCAGAGTTGGAGGTTCTGGTACTTTCGGAAGGTCATCATTGGGCACATCCTTCTTGTACCGGATCGTCTGCTTGTCCATTGGGGCTGTGCCATTTTTCCATGCCTTCAGGGGAAATTAATTTCAAACCAAGCCTGAAAACCTAATTGACGGGAAATATTTTTTGACCATTATATAGTTTTTGACCCGACAATTGAAACAGTTTGCATAACCATTTCAAGCCGAACCCGAAATCTACTAGTTTTGGATATGATTTCAAAACATATGTCCTGCAGCAGGAAGTTCTTCACCTGATCCTTTGCAGCCTTGTAGTTGACATCGATGTTGCTAGTCCCGGTAACCCACATCCCCTGCTGAAGGGCTGCAAGTTCAAGGCACCCATCATAGGAAGTAGGATGGATCACCACAGTGCTGAAGTTGCTCTTCACACCACCTGTAATCATGTTTGATGTTTCAGGCAGGCAAGTCTGGGCTAAAATAAAATATTGGCAATTTGGAGGCCAAATACAAAGGATATACCTAATCAAGCAGGGTACTCATCAAACTCTTGAGGACACATCGGGCTACCGCAGTTCCCCCCAGCCATTGGCTAGTTTCTTGCAGATCAGTAAGGTTTCGTCTTTCTGAGTGACTTAAGAGGGTGTCCCCGGGGACACAAAAGTCCTTCTCAGCGATCGCAGCAGGAAACTCTTGGAGAACTTGGCGAAGCCACAAGGTGCTTGCACAGAACCTGTCCAGGGATTGCATGGGATGTGTTGGAGCTATCTTTTATTGGAAGGTTCTGGTCATATATATTTAATTTATGGCAATTTCAGGAATACGTTCGAATCAAAATCATATAGACAAGGGACGTATTGGTCTCTGCTTCCAAATCCGGTGCTCCCCGCACCACACGATGTGCAGTTCCACGCAATGGGAGTGTGGCATCACAAACCCCCAGAAATGAAAGAAATGCTCCTGGCAGCTCCCTGTTTCTGTGCAATTCCTCAAGGTTCAGGTTGATGGTGAAGGGCCGCAACTCGATCTTGTGGTTTTGAAACTTGTCCTCCAACTTCCTGTTCGATTGAATGGATCACCAAGTGGCCATGCTTGGCAATGGACTTTACTGTGTTGTTATCAATTTTGAACTCAGATTTTTTAGTGTACCATAGCTTTCCTTAGGATATCGGATGGACATTACATTAAAGTGTTTGATAGTGTTTGTGAATAGATCATGAGCCTGATTGCGCCTGTATAGTGCTTACACCACCTTGGAATCATATAATGTGTTTGTGAATGGATATATATGTATTATGTTTTACCATGTCCTGGCCTGATGTCCCGACGAAGGGAACCAGCGGCATCAGTTCCAACCAGCAGCGGTGGAATCAAGACCATCACACTTCCTTATATTTCAGGGTCTCTTGTCTCAAAAACAATCCCCCCAAGTAACTTATATCTCTATGCCATTTTTTGTAAAGTACAGGGAAAATATATTCAAGTTTTGAGTCAACGAAATAATCTAAGATAAAGGTTGATCAAAGATAAAGATGGACTAAAGTCTGATCAAAGTAACGGGAAGGGGCCCCGAACAAAATGCGCTCTGCCAGCTCTCCCAAAGCATTGATGTTGGTCTGGCTGAGAACTCCAAGCTTCGTGCAGTCAATGTAGAGGATTGTGTCAACCTCCAGGACACCCACCTGCAGCAAAGCAAACCAAAGGGGTCAGTGCAGTTGGATTCCTTTCCAAAAAGTTTTTTAAAAACATTCCCATTTTTTTGGTTTGTTTCTTGAAAACTCAAGCCTTGGCAGCCTGTGCAGCTGAGCGATACATTGCATCCAGCTTTGGGTCAGACCAAGCCCTGTCACACAGCAGTGACACACGGCAGCTGCGTTCCATGAAGCTCTCACATAGCCTGGGTTGCCAAGCTGTGAAATTCAGTACAAAACAGCTACAAAAAAAGGAAAAAGTTTTGATATGTTTTGATTGCACATGAAAAAACAAAAATACCAAAAATTATTTTAAAAAAACACAATTTCCTGAACATGTTTGACTAGAAGCTCTTTGCCTGCCTCCACCTGGCTTTTCTCGTGCATGACTTTCACCACATGGGAACGACGGGTGCACTCCTCCTTTGAGCTGTTGTAGCTGCACATAGCTGAGATGTCCTGGGAAAGCTTTGCGCGCACTTCTCTGAACTTTGCTGCCTGAGCTTCATCTTCAAGCTCCATCAGCTCACTTGCTGAAACCACAGGTCCATGAGACGCTTGGGGCTCAATGAGATCCGCCCACAATCCCAAGTGCTGAACCTTCCAAGTTGGAAGTTTTGCTGTCACAGCGGCCTCCACCTCTTGACCATAGTCCCTCAGACAATGACTCACATAACAGAAGTAAAAAAAGTTGGAATGCTGTAAAAGTTGATTCAACTAACTGCAAATGACTGCAAAAAAACACCAAACAAAACAGGCCAACAAAAAACCATTCAAAAAAAGAGCCAAGAAACTTCTGGAGGAGAGCCTTGATCACAGCAGCTTCCTTCTCAGAGTTCCAGTGGCTCAGCTCTCGAGCTTCCTCAAGATCTGCACTGTAGACGCATGCAAGATCACAATGAGCATCAAATTGAGCACCACTCCAGCGTACTCGGGATTTGGAAGATTGTCTCAGACGGCGCCCATTCTCCTGGTAGCAGTGAATCACCAACTTGAAGTGTAAGACCTGTGCCATCTCGCTGACTGTCAATGCCTTCTTGAGATTGGTAGGGCAATTTTTCGGTGTAGATCCCAACATCCATCGCTGCCCCTTCAACTGCTCCGTGGAAAACGCACAGTCTTTCCATTTCACATGGTCGATATGCCGTTGAAGCACTGCCCGTGCATCCTTGATTGTTGTGTAAATAATAAATCAGAAAAACTGCAACAATACAAAATCAGCTCTCAAAAAATCAGCTCCCCAAAAATCAGCCTTGCAAAATTGATTGGAACTAATTCCAGCAGTAAGGGTCAGGGCAAGTGCCAGTGATCATGTTCAGCACGGACCTGAACTTCTCCTCGTCGAGGCGATGCTTTGCATTCAGCCCTGGACTTTGGTGAAACTCACCAACGATTTCCCGGAGACGATCCTCAGTCGAAGCCGATGCCAAATGAGCTCCTTCAACTGCACGCAGCTCCATGATCCTGCTGAATCTCAAGGCAAGCTGGAGACAGTTCGGGCTCTGGCGCTCACTTCCTCTGAAGCTCAAGGTGAGGTTGCGATAGGAACGTGCAGCCATGTCCATGTTGAAGGCCATCTTGGTTGATTTGACATTCACAAGGAAAATTATGTAAGCAAAAATTGTTTTTAAAAAAGTTGATGATTGGTGGACAAAAATGTGGAAAATCTTGATGGGAACACTTTTGTCAAAGAAAACATTTGAAATTGAATATCTTTCAAGTAGCAGTGCATGGGATCATCCAAGCTCTGTCCAACACCTTGAAAAGAGGCTTGAGCTTCTCAGCAGTTCCAGGCTCTGACAAATCCAGCTCACTGGCAGCCAAGAGAAACGTGGCAACCACGGACGCACGTGTCCATCCTTTCACAATATCCACGTGAGCGACATCGCAGGGCCAGCTGCTGCTTTCTGCAGGGTAGGGCAAAAATAAATTTGTCCTTTTTTGGTGGAAAAACTGTAAAGAAGAACATCAAACAAGCATGTGTGGCAACAATTATTCCTTTATGTTTGTTTGGGCTTGGTCTGTGCCTTCGCGACATGCTGTTGAGACATCAATTGATTCTCTGCCCAAGTCCACCCCTCCGAAAAGCATGGATTCAGCTGTGGTGATCCAGTCAGCAACAACTGGCATCCCGTCATCCGGTTTCTCAAACCTGATGGGGGGGAGATAAAAAATAAAATTTGAACATGTCCGATCGAAACAATAAATTTCCTTCCAAAAACTCTGCAAGCAAACCAACAGCAATTTACTGATTTGATCTTTTGGAAAAACTTGGGCCTCAGGCAGGTGATTGGCAGCTTGATGGTTTCATCTGCCATTGAAGGATTTAGATCCTTGGGTGGACCAGGAAAAAAATAAAACTACAAAAATACATTGAAATTTGCAACTTACTTGCTTTTATTGTTTTGGAGGAAAAATATTGTTCTAACAAAGTGTCCACTGCATTGGCACCCTTGTGCAACCACGCCATGCCACGATGAGTGCAGTACTCCTGATACCACAAGTCCAAATGCTGACAGCGAAGTTTGAAGTCGCCCTCTGCCAAGAGCTCACATACCAAAGACGCAGGGTGAGAGCCATCAGTCATGCCATCTTCAGACTTGAATGACTGGATGTAGGCTAGGAGCTCCTGTGTTTGGCTGGAGTAGGGACATAACATTCTTATAGTTTCTAATTTACCAGCTTTGGAAAAATCAGGTACAATACAATATGAATATTAATAAATACATATCTACATATATATATATATATATATGTATGTATGCATGCATGCATGTATGTATGGATGGATGGATGGATGGAAGGATGGATGGATGTGTGCATGTATGTATATATATATATATGTATGTATGTATGTATGTATGTCTGTATGTCTGTAAGTCTGTATGTATGTACATTTGTTGTATGATTGTAGTAGATATCTTTGCATATATATATATATAGTGCTATATATGGATATATATATATAAAAAAATATGTGTATACACATATGCACATATAATATATATATGTGTAAATAACTTGAAGCAAATATTCATTGAATAAATATATATATATATAATCCCAAAGTACCTTAAAATACCCATAGCATAACCATTTTCCCAGCCCTTGATGCCCACTGAAAAAAAGATACTCCTTCACCAGGGACACATCCCCATGCATGCTCTGGATTTGCTTCTCATAAGCATTGCACTGCTTCTTGGCAGGCCCTTCCGCTGGCTTGGCTCCATCGAACTTGGAGGTGATTTCCTCAACCTTGGCCTTGAAAGGGAGGAGTCGTGGTGCTGCCATGCTGCTAGACCAGCCGGTTTCTGATTGATCCAAAAAGCCCTGAAGATAACAGGATGGTTCAAAACGTCCATCGATTTCATTTTCAATTTCCCAACATATTTTCAATGGACCGTAGGCCTCACAGTCCATCGAGCCTAATTTCTTCGGGAAACACACGTTCAATTTCAAAATCAAAATCTTGATTTCAAATTGAACCTCACCCCCCCAAAGTATAGGGTTTTCAATGGACTGTGAGCCCCACAGTGCATCGAAACACATGTTGGATTTTGGAATCAAAATCAATCGACATATTGAGGTTTGATTTGGGTTTTCAATCGATCGTGAGCCTCACAGTCCATCGAAAAATGGGATTGCATGGTCAGAAACATACCAAGTGCATTGGTTCCAATGGGATCCCTTGGATGGCATGGGGGGTACATCGAAACATGGTGCACATGACCTTCATTGCTGGAGGTGCATCGAAATTCTTGGCACGGACACCCGGGCGTGCATCGAAAATGTTGGCACGGTAGCCCAAAAACCAGGTGTGCATCGACCCTGGGATGGTTGCCCACCAAGTCCATCGAAACATACCCCAATTTATTATAGCATCAAAGATTTTTTGTGAATTCAAAATACTAAAACATATTGGAAACCCTGGTATTCCCCTCTAGTTTCCACTAGTCACAATGGAGATGTGATCTCTTTGGGGCCCCTTCCCAACCTTAATATGGAATAATGTGGAAACCGTTGGCAATCCATGATTTGTAATCCCAATGGAATGGATTTAATCTTTGGATCATTTTGGGTCCAATTTCCCTTTTCCATGGTGGTTATCATCTATTACCCCAATCCCCCCAAATTTGTTCCCTTTTAAAGGGAACAAATTCTACATTTAACTTATCCAGGAGTCCATATTTATAATCCTAATTGAAATGAATTTTCTTGTTGGTGGTACCCATTCCCAAATGTAACCTGTCCAAGGTTTATCTTGACCCTGCATATCAAACCTTTTCCAAGGTGATTCAATCCGAGAAGACCGTGTTCCAGGAGCAGGTTTAACCAGCTACTGGGCAAAGAATTGAATTTTGCAAACGGTTGTTTCTTCCCTTGTTGCCAGAAGTAGGTTTAACCTAGCTACTGGGCAAATGACCAAATATCATCGGGTTTGTTTCTTCCCTTCTTAAATTTCTCCAAATGAAATCTAACGGCTGAAGACCGCTCTCAAGGGTAATGATGGTGCCAGTGCGTTGAGCACTGCTTGGTGCATGACAAACGGTTGCCCAGGGTTAGCTGCAGCTGGCTGACTGTGCCACCACAGAGGGGTAAGCTCACTGTTCCTCCAAGTGGTGTTGTTGACCAACTCATAGAGATAATCCAGGGCTTTCTGGTAGCGGTGGCCATATGTAGAATCAACAGCTTGAGCTAATTTTTGCCATTCCCGTGCAACAGCTTGATTGTGATTGTTTTCCCTCCTTGGTGTCTTTAAATTTGTCTCCAAAAACAAGACATCACCCTGTTACAGTCATTGCCAATCTACATCCCACTTGGTGTCAGGTAATTAGATGAGGACATATTTAAAAAATCAGATATGATATATTGGTTGAACGACTTTATGGATTTGGGTTTGAAGGAATTTAAGACATCTTTTCACCAAATCTTGCAACAGGGGTCCAAAAAATTGTTTAACAGTTGCTAGATATCAAGCAAAGATCTTCGTGGTTGGTACCAGGCTGAATCCTGAAGCACGGGTTTCGTTCATCACCAGAAGGGGTTCTTGTGAAAGCTCATCATCAGAAATAAATTTCTTCACAAAGAGTATCACATCCCCGTCACACTTGGCAGCCCGGGAAGAGCCATGATTGATGTTACGCGCCAAGGCTGCTGGAACATCTGCAGGGGGTTCTGACGGTTTTGGAGGCTTGGCGGGTCATGGGGTTGTTGCCTCTATCTTTTCTTGGGGGAAAACCATACCCATATATCCAGCTGAAAACCATTGTGAAACCATTTGAAACCCTTGATGCCTCGGCGCTGCATGCTGAGAAAAAGATGGTTCCCACTTTGGTCAACTAGAAGTCCACCTTCCAGTTTGACACCCAATGACGGTAGATGAGATCTCCAGTCATGTGCACACTCTAACTTTCGGACATTGACCCGACAGCTGGGTCCAATCCAGTCCCGAATGCTGGGTTTGCTCAGTTCATGTTGGATAACCGCTGCAACATCATCAATGTTCTGAAGGGAACTCTCATGGGCCACTCTTCTTGCTATAATTCCCCATGCTTGATCTTAGTTGATTTGCAAAAGAAGGACCCCAAAAAATAACCCACACCCACATAATAATTGATGGCAAATATGAGTTGGTCAAACCCCTTTTGGGTATAACATGAGCAACTGGTGTTTGTTGGCAAATAGCCCAAGAAATGTTTTTTAAAACTATGTGTTGATAAGTTTGCTTTGGCGGGTAAAAAATTTGGCAGTTTGGTAACAAACACCTGTTGCCCCCAACAAAGGTATGGCTCAATCAGGCACAATTACCTATTCGGCAATGTGTATGGCTTTTGCGAAGGCATGCTAAACAGCATAGCTTCATGCGGTGTTGAGCCACTAACATATGGAGGTATGTCAAGCAGTACTGGTTTTTGCTCTCTCTCACTGTATTGTCTGCCTAAGATGCCAAGGGAAATCGAATCAAAAATACTGGGTGGTAGTTAGACTTAATCCATCTTAATCCCATTGGTGGTAATTGGGATCCATACAACCATTTCTATCCAACAACCCAGCTACGTTGAGGACCAGTGTTGTTGGCCGTGGCCGATGGCCTTCATCAGCATATCGCATGACCTAAGATGAGCATATCAGAGGACCAATTTTGGAATGTTCTGAAGTAACAACAAAAATATGAGAGGAGCCCCAAACACTGTTGACTATTTGTTCCAAACAATATCCATCATAATGGGTTTGATTCTCTTAATACAAGGTACGTCCTCCAGTGTCTGTGCAACTATTTCGATGATAGCGCTACTGTCGTGCTTGGCCACTTCATCCATCAAGTAGATGTTTAAGCAGTGGCCAAATGCCCAGGCTCCATGAACTTTGACTCGAGGCCGTTCATGCTTTGCCCTGAGCTGTAATCAGAGCTGGGAAAGACATTGGGTGTAAGACTATTAATTCCCATGGGCCTAAAACAAATCAAAATAATGTTAAATCATCCCAAAAACACTGCGGCATTGGCTTTGAGATCCGGATGTCGAGGCAGAGCAAACTTGGCTTGGTCTAAACCATCTGTTGAAATAAATAATATTTCACAGTTGGGTTCACTTGATTGGGATTGAAGCTGCCACAAGCAACATCTGTCCCGGTATTGAGAGTGAAGGTGAAACCGGTATTGTTGTAAGACTTCAAGTTTCCCTTCCACACCCAAACTTCGATCCCCCAGTTGCTGTTTGAGGATGGAACATATTTCACAAGCTGTAAAAAGGGTTTTCTGACGAAACCGCAGTATGTCCTGCCACCTCCTCTTGTACACATCCAGAAAAGTGCCGTACCTGCAGTGCAATCCCAGTATGACCTGTAGAAGTTGCTGTTTCCAACATTCCCAACGAATAGAAAAAAATGATTTCATCACAAAACATATCTCTTCACTGTTATCATGACCAGGCACGACACACAGTGACAGCCAAGCATGGTTTGGGTTGATTTGTAGTGCTCAAACAAATCCATGACCGTTCCAGGGGGTAGGTATTTTCGAACAAGCTGACGATGAGGAAGTAAAGTGGTTTTGCAGTTCTGAGTTGTTAGCCATTCCCTGAGTTCCTCTTTGTTTTCAACATCTGATGCCACCTCCTCCCAATCACTCGGCAAATCATCGTCAAGATCCTTCTTTCGGTGAGATGCACGTCCCCTCCGAACGAACCTGACATGGAAAGGTACTTGTTGTGGGGAATGACATGGTATGACCCCTGAAAATGAAAGCACCTTGAATTGTGGTTTTGGTAGCAAATATCCTGAAATTGATAGCTGGTCAAAATCAAAATTGACAGTTCTATGATTAAGAAACTCATCGGGTAAAGTTTCGGCAATGGCATCATATGCCACTTGCAGAAAACCATCCACTGTCCATGTACCAGGTCGGCTTTCATGCTGCTTCCTGCCATGTCTGAGGTCTGGCACTGCACCTGCTTTTCTCTCCAGGCGGTTGCCACCCACACCGAGCAGGGATGCCAAACATTTGAAACCCACGGGCTTCTCCAACAGTGTGCAGATATTTGCACCAGTGCCACCAGGTGTTGTAGAGATCTCCATCTTAGTATGTTGAAGGATAACTGATCATGACTGGACTGAATATATGTTGTGGTGCTGGTTAAATTTATATATATACATATATCTTATATGGATAAAATATGATGAAATGAATAGATATAATGTATATATATATGATATTTGTTTTAATATGCTATATGCTTTATCACCATACATGTAATCATAAATGAATATATAGATACTGTATATATAATAGAAAAAACATAGTGTCAACAAGGCACAATGGAATCTTGATCCTGCTTGCTCAGTTTCCAGAAGTGCTCAAGAAATGTTGCCAGCTCTTTGGATCCGGTGAACTGTTTGAAGCAAACCTTCTTTGCACCTCGTGTTTGTGTCAAAACAATGGATACCAGGTGATCATATATGATGCCCAATATTTCCTGACTGATCCCACCACTAATGCGGACAAAGGCACATGAGCAGGACGGTGCACTAAACAACTTTTGCAGTCTGGCTGGATCCATGCCGTTTCTTTTGTAAAAACCTTTTGACTCACGTCGTGCATACACAGCCTTTGCAGCTCGTTTGCTATTGTCGTATTGACGCTTGGTAGGCTTTGCCGCCTCATTATCCATATTCTCCTTCCAAAAAGTTGCTTGTTTGAAAGTTGATACTGAGTTCCACCCAAAAGTGAAGACAGTGTCTTTCTTGGGCACAAAACTAGCCTCATCACCGCTGGATAATGACATACTGTCGGA